CACACACACACACACACACACACACACACACACACACACACACACACACACACACACACACACACACACACACACACACACACACACACACACACACCACACACACTTTGTGTAGTGGAGACCAACTACGACCACTGGAAGCCCGTTCCTGCGAGCGATGACCGCCGCGATCCCGCCAACAAACTCATGCACGCAACAAACTCCTCCACCATCACCCCAGAAGTCATGTGGAGCGTCATGAACATGTTCCCAAACCTCAACTCCAACACGACCATCACCGCCGTCATGTCCGCAGGCACAGGGTTCTATCGCGCAATGACCCAGAACAACCCGCCCTTGGAAGGAGGCAGCACACCACATTGACCATCTTGATGTGTGTGTGTGTGTGTGTGTGTGTGTGTCTGTTGAGCTGTTGGCATGCCCGCGTTATGTACGTTCAGTGGTTTCGTGTGCTTGCAGGCAATGGGTGTGAAGGTGTGAGGAAGGTGTGTTCTGGTAGTGTTGAGACTAACCAATCAATGAACGCTTGTGTACGTATAAAGAAGACTGCGCATGACATGAGATACGTGATTGCTTGGGTAAGAAGAAGAGATGATTCAGAGAACAGGGGAGCACGTGAAGGAAAGATTCCACGATACACGCTCATGCGTTAAGCAAAGTGACAAGTGTGTTGTTGTCACACCACAGGCAACAAAACAGGAGCAGGAGATTGGGGTTGGGGGGGGGGGGTTGGGTTGGAGCTCAAGCACCGGTGATGCACGGACCCTTGGGTCCCAAACGAAAGGCCGTGCCTGCAAGCAAGCGTTCTTAAGAGCTTGTTTATTGTGACGACGTTTGTACCTTGTTCAGGTTGAGGGTGTGAGGAGGCGTGACCACGAGGCGAGGGCTAGAAGTTTGGAACCAAGTACACGGGCGCATTCGGGACTGCATCCTTAGGTGCGTTCACCCACTTCCATTTCAACCGAACAGGTGCGGCCAAGCGCAGACCAAGAACCGCTTTCAAGTCATTCCCATGATCCCACAATCGTGATACCCTAGTTGTGTGTGTGTGTGTGTGTGTGTGTGTGTGTGTGTGTGTGTGTGTGTGTGTGTGTGTGTGTGTGTGTGTGTGTGTGTGTGTGTGAACGGAGAAACGAGGCATTGTCCGAGTGACGGGAAAAGAAGTGTTAACGTGTTGAATGCGAGGGGGCACAGCTCGCAAAGCAGCAAACGCGACATCACTGCCGGCATAAGGGCAAGGGCATCTGTCGCCCCTTACACCTCCTGGCACAATGCATCATTGACTCACCCCATCAACTTCCACGTGCGATCCCGTCATGAATGATGCACCATCCGTGGCCAAAAAGTGAACGACGCTCGCAACCTGTGCACGTGTGCAGAGTGGTGGGGGGGGGTGCAAAAGTGGAAGCAAGCTGTAAGAACGGTTGCATTGGCGTGTCCAGTATTTCACGCTTGACACCCACCCACCCCCTCCCCACACACACACACATACACACACATACACACACACACATTTTTGCACACCCTCCGACAGCTCACCTTCCTCAAACACATACACACGAGCTCCTTACTCCCAGCATCTGCATATGTCTCACCTCTGATGGCTTCCCCGCGCGCTGCTGCAGCGGATAGTTGGCGCCGGCGTCCTCTTCCGTTTCGTCATACGCAGCCAGGATGCGACGCACGCTCGGTGTGAGAATCTGCATTGGCAGAGCAAGGGAGATCAGAGTGAGTGAGTGAGTGTGTGTGTGTGTGCGAGTGCGAGGGTGTCAGCGAGAGAGAGTGTGTGTGTGTACGCGTGTGTGTGTGTGTGCGTGTGTGTGTGTGTGTGGAGTGGGTGCGGCTGACAAGCAGCTCAGCAGGGAAGACGCACGCAAGTGCCGTGTAGAGCACAGTATTCATATACAGATGATCGTGCGACACGCTTCACATAGATAGTTGTGACGAGGAGGACAAACACGCCGCAGACTTACCGTTCCAGGGTTGACAGCGAGCACGCGAATGCCATATTTGCCATAGTCCAGTGCAAGCTGGGTTATCAATGTGTGTGTGTGTGTGTGTGTGTGTGTGTGTGTGTGTGTGTGTGTGTGTGTGTGTGTGTGTGTGTGTGTGACATTCTGACACGCAATCACCAACAGCAACACAGTCGCCACCGAACAAGCAGTCAACGGCGACGACCCTGAAGCAAGCCCCCACCCCCCCCAAAAAAAAGCACACCTGCCGTGTGAGCGAAAGGATGGCCCCCTTTGAAGCTGCATAGGCAGAGACGCCGTGGGCAGTTTGCAGCCCGTGCACACTGCCAATGTTGACAATCACGCCGCCAGGGTTGCCTGTCTTCTCATGCTGGTCCACCATCACCCGAAGTGCCTTGGTTGTGTGCATGCAGCAGAGGAACAGAACAAGATTGAGCCGTGGTCATGTGAACACAGCGGTTGAGATACGGCCTGTGTTGGCCTACACCAACAGCATCAATAGCAACAACAAGAAGCATATCCTGCTGTTTCCCGCTTGCTGAAGTCCTGAGCAACATTCACTCACGGCGCGGGAAAAGTAGAACGCAGAGTGAAGGTTGACGTGAAGAATGCGATGCCAGTTCTCCAAGGAATACTCGTGCGCAGGGCGGACAGTATCCACAGGCAAGATTCCCGCGTTGTTCACGAGGCAGTCCAGCTGACCAAACCTGCCAACAGCGAGCGCACGAGCGCACGAGTGCACACGGATGCGCGTGTGTGTTGCACCATGTCGTGTTAACCAGTCGAAGACAGACAACCAGAGCTAAACAACAACGACAGACCAATCACCACAAGTCGCGTCCCGACACACACACACACACACACACACTCTCTCTCTCTCTCTCTCTCTCTCTCTCTCTCTCTCTCTCTCTCTCTCTCTCTTACACTCACTCACTCCATACACAGACTCACTCGTTGACGGTCCTGGAGACGGCATCGCTGGCCACGCCATCATCAGCAACGTCTGCGTGGATGTTGACAATGCGACGGTTGTTGCGGCTTGCTTTGTCCTTCAGCTCCGAAAACACTGTGTTGTCCGTGTCCACGTTCACGACGTGCCAGCCTTCTTCAAGGAACTTGTCCACCGTTGCCCTGCCAATGCCTTGGCTACCGCCGGTCACCAGCGCCACCCGGTCACCACCACGTTCTTGCGTCGTCGCCAAGAATCGAGGCTGCGTGCGTCCCAATACACGCACCCTCGCTGCTGCTGATGACGGCAGCACTCCTCGGCGCAACAGCGACAGCCGTGCTCGTGCTCCAGCCAGCACGCTGGCACAGCCACCAACCATCACCATCGTCCACTGACTTTGACAAACAAAAACAAAAACCTCAAAGGCAAAACTGCCTTTCTCGATTCTCAATCAAAAGCAATTTTGCCCTTTGCGGTAACAGTGCACGAAGGAAGATGGGAAGCAGGTGGTGCGTGCGGTGTGAGCGCTGGCAGGCGATCTTGAGTGGCGCAGAAGGGGATGGAGATGGAGTGCGCGGTGAGCCGTCACAGGGCACGTCGGCCTACGCGGCTGAGCTGAGACAGTGCCAGCAAGCTGTGGACGCACCCCAGGAGAAGTGGAAGGTGCAGCTTGGCGCCATTCGCAAGGTTCGGACGTGGTCGACGCTTATGCACTGATTTTGGTCATCACAATCCAATCACTTCTCACATGCTCGCCATGACTCGCACGCACACAACAAAATATCCCCAACAACACCGGCACACACTCACACACAATCACACACACGCACACAATCACATACAAACTCACACAAACTCACTCGCACACACACAATCACACACAAACTCACTCACACACACACTCTCTCTCTCTCACACACACACTCACTCAATCAATCATGCACACAGTTGGCGGCCCATTTGAAGCGCCGGAAGACGTGGCCGTGTGAGAACGCCAGCGATAGCCTGGATCTGCGCAAGGTGTGCGACATCCTGGTGTCCATGGCGCTGTTGCCGCACAGCAGCTCCGATCTCCAAAATGCTGCCGTCAGGTACACCTTGGACATGTGCACGTGCAGTGTACTTTCACATACACCTGCAGCGGTCCTCAGTCACTGATCCTCCTCAAACCTAACTCTTTGCATCCCTAATGGCCTGGTTTGCAGTGCCTTGCGAACGCTGAGCGAGAAAGCGCCGTCGACCGTCGAAGAAGTTCTGATGACACACATCCGTGCCTTGCTGGACGCCAGTGGCGCTGAGCCCACACATGCATCGAGCACGTCTGAAGACTGGAGGTGGTGGTATGGGGTGCGCGGTATGGTGCAGCTCTCTGTGGCCCAGATCCCTTCTTCCCAGCAGACCACAACTTGGCTCAAGTACCATTTCCAAGCATTCAGCACCCTCTTCCAGAACTGGCCCTTGGGTGCGTTTGCAACAGCCATCTACACCTCTATCTTGATGTCTTCTCGCACAATGTGACCTCCGTACATGTGCTGACTTGATTGTCTGCCTCTTTTCTTTCTCTCTCAAATTGCACTCACTCACACACTCACACACTCACACACTCACACACTCACACACGCACTCCTTCCTTGCTTTCCCTCTCTCGCTCAAACTACACTCAACACACACACACACACAACACATACAACGAACGCACGCAGGTCAAGCGTGTGTGGAGGGTGTAAGCGCTGCCGTGATGCTGCATAGCCATAACCTCTTGCAGCAGTTTGCACTACTGGACAACGCATCAGCGCCATCAGCGCTCTCATCACCCCAGCCCGTCCCCGACCACCACAGCATGATGGTCTGCATGATGGAAGGGCTTGCCAAGACGCTGTCACGCCTACAGCCCTCCATCCTTCGCTCGGCACCTGTAGACAACACTTCGAGTGGTGCTGGCGGTGATGACCGTGCGGCGGATGCGGTTGAGGGTCAAGATAGTGACGACATGTCACAACCATCAACTGTTGCGGCCGCATCGCTGTTGAAGCATCGCCTCTCACAGCTGCTCCTCGCCACGGAAACACAATGTCAGTTCTTGTGTGTGTGTATGTGTGTGTGTGTGTGTGTGTGTGTGTGTGTGTGTGTGTGTGTGTGTGTGTGTGCTTCTGCGTCTGCTTCAGCGTGTGCATGTGTGTTGTCCTCTGCACCTCTCCCATTCACAAACATTCACACACACACACACACCACGTGCACCTTTCAACATGTTCTGCGTGCCTTGTGCGCCAACACAGCCATCACGGACATGAAAGCGCTGCAGAGCGCTGCCCTTGCCCTCGTCCAAACGATCGTTATCACGTGCCATCTCCACAGCAGCGGTGGTGTTCGCGCATATGATCAGCAGCAGGGCAGCGAGTGCGGCGACGTTGCCCTGTGCGGTGCAGAGGTGTGGCTGGAGGAGTGGGCACGCACGCACGCGCACGCGTTGCCGCTCGGCGAGCAGCACATTGGTGCGCGCAATGGCAATGAGACCCGTGCTGACGGCGACTGTCGCAATGTCATGCAGCCCGTGACACCAGCGACAATGCTTGCGCTCTGGCGGTGAGTGCACAGGCGGGATGCTTGCACGCGGTGCTGTGTGGTTTGTGTCGAGTGCTGAGCGTGGATGGCGTGTCATGTTTGGCTTATGTCGTGGGTCGTGCTGTTCTGTCACGAGTCAACACCGCACAGATTGCATTGCTGGTGCCGCCGAGTTTCATCATCACCTCCTCCTGCGTCCTCCTACGTCTTCCTGTTTCGTTTAACACCGCAAATCCCCGTCTTTCCCCTCTCCCCCGTCTCATCGCTTTCCAGTGCCATGCTGCAGACGGATGCATGTGTGCGCCTTCTCCTCGTGCATTTTCCGCGCGTGTTCTTCCCCACCGGCCTCTCATTTGCTGCACATGTGTGCACCGCTGCTGACGACCTGCACACGCCCCGCTTCGCCATGGAATGCCTCGACACCTGGCTCAAGACAGCAGCCAAGCTTGTCACATCGTGCGTGATTGGGGCTGCTTGTTGTTGTTGTTGTTGTTGTTGTTGTTGTTGTTGTTGTTGTTGTTGTTGTTGTTGTTGTTGTTGTTGTTGTTGTTGTTGTTGTTGTTGTTGTCGTTGTTGTTGTTGTTGTTGTTGTTGTTGTTGTTGTTGTTGTCGTTGTTGTTGTTGTTGTTGTTGTTGTCGTTGTTGTTGTTGTTGTTGTTGTTGTTGTTGTTGTTGTTGTCGTTGTTGTTGTTGTTGTTGTTGTTGTTGTTGTTATTGTTGTTGTTGTTGTTGTCGTTGCTGTTATTGTTGTTGTTGTTGTTGTTGTTGTTGTTGTTGTTGTTGTTGTTGTTGTTGTTGTTGTTGTTTGCCCGCGCCTATTTCGTTTATATTCACCGAACGAACGACCTACGATACACGCACGCGCACGCGCGCATGTGTACTCACAAGCACTCCCATGCAAACACACATGTCAGAGCTTCGCCGCTGCTTCCGTCGCTGCCTGCGGACTCGATTGTGCGCACGTGCGCGGACGTCGTCTTGCATCACGTGGATGACCCGCTCGACAAGACGCGACACCAGGTACATACACGTCCTCGCTGTGATGGCTGTGATGGTCGTCAAGGGGGTGTGCACTGTTGCACTGTCGTGACTGTCGTGGTTGCACAGATTTCGAACACACCCGTCACAGTGTGCATCATGTGTGTTGTCTTTGGTGCGCTTTGCTGCGCTGCAGGTTCGCGATCTGTTTGAGAGCATCATCGCATTCTCAAATGCAACGCAGACGCCTGAAGGTATTTTGAATTGACGTTGTATTCATGCCCTTCACGTTGGAGCTTGGACAGCATCACTTGTCGCACCACTCTCACAAGACACACACACACACAGTCACTCACAGACACAGTCACTCACTCACTCTCTCGCTCTCACTGTGTCTCTCTCACACACTCCCTCACTCACTGTCTCACACACACACACACACACTCTCTCTCTCTCTCACTGTCTCTCACTCACACACTCACACACACTCAATCACCGCCTGTCTCCCCATTCTTTACAGAGCGCAGTGCGGTGCACCGCATGGTCCTACAGCGACTGAAGCGGCTGCCGTGGACAGCGAGGGGCAAATACCCGTGCCTGCAGCAACTCTCCCGAAGGTGTGTGTGTGTGTGTGTGTTGTGTTTGGTTAAGTTCCTTTTGCACGATGTCATGTGGTGTGGTGTCGTGCATGATTGTACCTGCGCTCAACTCACGTCAACATGCCATACGCGTGCCGCTCCCCACCTTCCTGTCCAACTGTCTGTCAGCATCGGCGTCGGTGCGGTGCTGGACGCCTGGCCAGATCTCGCCCCGCGCCTCCTCGCAGCAATGGCACTCGAGGTGTGTGGATGGGGGATGAATGACGCATATCATGTGGCGTGTAGCGTGTGGCGTGTGGCATGTGGCGTGTGGCGTGTGGCGTGCTGGGATGGTGTGGCCGGAGTTTGGTTGTGATTCCACACTGTCCATATCTGAATGACGCTCGCACGCACGTACGCACACACACACACACACACACACACACACGCACACACACACACACGTGCACCAACCCGCTTGCCTTCCTCCCGCAGGCCACGGCGAAGCCAGCCCACACGCTGTTTGTTGACCTCGCTGTGCGTCACCGTGACGAGTGCTCTGTGCGTGCAATCAACACGCGCGCAAAAGCCAACACCAAGACGACGACAGCTGCAGCAAAAGATACAGCGCCTTCACCAGCACCATCCACATCCACCACTGCAGCGGACAAAACCGCCACCCCGTTTGAGGTGTGGGCGAACCGATGGCTGCGTCCAGCCGTGCACGCGCTGACCACTGGAAGCGATTTCCTGCGCAAAACGCTGCTTGAGCTGACGATTCCAAAACTCTTTGCTGTTGACCGCCAATGCGTTCTGTTTGCCATCCGCACCCTCCGCTCCCCAGCACATCACGTCAGTCCTCCTCTGCACGCCCGCATAAGCATCGTTGTGTGTGTGTGTGTGTGTGTGTGTGTGTGTGTGTGTGTGTGTGTG